ACAGTAAATCTCGCTTAAATAATAATTATTTTCGGTTGTTAACTTGGTGAAAATGTACTAAATTATTGATTCGCTAATTAAATATTTCGCTAAATTAATAGAATTTTATTAGTTCTGACTCTGTTAATTTATAAAAATTTAATTGTATTTGAGATGGTATTTTACAATAGAACAAGGCCATTGGAATATGAGGCCATTATCAACAACTACAAGCTACTATTGTAACTATATCCGGGCCGTATATAATTAATTATATATGTAACACAAGATTAAATTCTACATTTTAGAAGAAAAGCACTCGGGATAAGCTTTACGCAAAGAAGTCGGTTTTAAAAAGTAAATAAATAATAAATTTACATGCTAAATTCAGTCTATTGTACTTTATGGATCACGTCACCTACAAAAAAAATAATAAATTGAAATGCTAAATTTGGGTTATGTTTGGTAAGCTTTTGAGCTTCCATTTCTATTTTATTATGAAGAAAGATGGTTTGGGAGAAGATTTTGAAAATTAAATAAAGTTTATTTGTGTTTTGAGAGGCGACAATTTGTACTGTTGCAAGTCAAATCATATTTGAAATGTGTTGGAAACAGTATTTTGAAAGAAAAATTTGAAACATAAAGTGATTTTAGTTTGTATTTTACCGAAGACAATTGTCACCGAGCGGTCAAATCATGTTTGATAGAGATAGAAACATTTGAATTTTTTTTATATCGTTTTTGAAAATATTGTACAAAGATAATTTTCATTTTGGGAAAAGTGTGAAAAATCTTACCAAACATAGTAGTTTCTTATGTCTGTCATCTATTGTACAAAAAACATACACTTTCTGTTACGCCCGCCTTCTATGAAGCGTTTGTCAAATTACTCTATGAAATTACCCGGTCTACTTTTTTTTTTTTTTTTTTTTTTTTATATGGATAATACTAATTACTAATCAAACTATAGTTCACAAAAATACGTACGATTTATTTATTAACAACCTCACTTCTAGCAAGGTAAAGTACAAAGGTTCCGAACATTTATAACAACAGCTCCTAGCTTATGAGATTACAATACTATAACATAAATAAGTTAAAACGCTGATATTTATAATACAAGACAGCGATTATTCTTAACTTAATCGAACCACTATTTTACAAATATAAACAAGGTAACTACTCGGACGGGAAATCCTCTTATTCGTTCAAGCTGCACCTGTGTCTGAGAATATGACAGAATAAAGTAGAGGGATAAGTCATAGAAGACTTAGTGAGGTGAAATATAAGAATAACGAGTTACGACATGATCTGAGAGAAAGTATGATGATCGAACCAATTGGTGATATCGGAAAATAGAAGCGATGAAAGATTATCCATCGATTGGAAATTCAAGAATAATAGTAAGGATGATCAATAAATTTTCCGATCAATAGAGATAAGAATACACCTACCTTGTGACTCCCGTAGCCGTTTACTACCTTATTCACCGAGCAGGGAATGACCCTGTAATGCAATGTGGCATGCCCGGGCGCATGCCGGTTTAGCCCGAAACCCAACTAACCTCCAGTTGTGTACGGGTCTAAACCTATGTGGGTACTGTTGGAGAGACTACCCACCGTCGGCCCGATACCGCCCAGCGGTCACCTCCAAACAGCCCCGGGCCCATTAATATCCATTGTCCTTGAGGCGTCCCAAAAGGACTTCATCGATCATATAAGAAAACCATGTTGTTCTGATTATTTCAGAATTCCAAAGACAAAAGAATTCCGAAGAAATGGGATCAAGTGAAAGGTTTCAAAGGGGGCTTGACGTTTCAAGATGTGAAGTTTAGATAATTGAATAAAACTTGAAGGAAAATGATCGGCTTCAAAGAATTTCATACCGATCACTCAATAAGTACTATTCGAAGGAAATGGAAATCAAAGAGTTGAACACTCGATAAGATAGCATTTCTCAAATAATCTCAAGCTCAACATCATCAAATCAATTTCAAATAACGATAATCAAATGATAACGAGTAGATCAATTCAATGAAAGAGAGCAAAATTCAAGTACTCGAGCGATACAATTACCCGAGTTTATCATATTCCCAGAAAAGGTCAAGCAAGAGAACCCTCACCTCGGTCCAATCAAGAGTACTCGTCGATCACGGTTCCTCGATCTCAAAACCTAAGCAATATTTAAACTATAAGACACCAAATTATTTATTAAAATAAAATGATATACACTCTACGTTCCTAGCTTTATGTGTTCTTAAGGTCGAATAATTCACTTACCAATTCTAGATTAATCTAACCCCGTAACTAACATCAAAACTTACGACATAACCATCACGTTTATGTTACCAGGACGAAGACCAATAAAATATGTTCATATATGACGACTTTCTTAACATAATAATAAAATGTATGTGCTGCCACAGTTTATTCAAAAATTCATAACAAATTCCACGTTTATCCAAATTGCTCATGTGATATACCGAATGAAAGCTAACAAATAATACTACGAGTTCACAGAAGACTTTCACCCCTGATTCGGAACCAAAAATAGCAGAATTTCCAAAAACCAGCATGTAACAGAACTGCCGAACATTGAAAATTCAGTTCTGGTACAACTTATTTGAAAAATAATAACATGCTATACATATCTCGAAACAGAACAAATGATATACCAAATTAAAGCCAAGAACAATATCTAAGAGTTTAATGAAGAAACCATTTTCAAATTATGAGCATAACATAGTTGAAACAGCCCCCGAAAAGGTTAATAAAAACTGCCGGTATTTACAAAAATCCATTTTCTGGCAGTATATTTTGAAAAATCGTACTAATTCGAAATGTTATCCAAATTTAACAAATAGTATATGAAATCGAACATAACGACTTCATCTACAAATCGACAGAAGACATTGAACTCAAATTATGAATCAAATATACAGAAAACAGCCCCAAAAGAATAATCATACGAGCTGCCAGAATTGACAGCTTTCAACGCCCATATTCCTCCGTTCAAAAAGCCTATAGAACTCAATCATATGGAACGAGCTTCAACATATAATTAACGTACTCCAGAAAATCTATGATGTTTGAGAAGAAACGATTTTAAAATTCGAATTCCAAAGCTCCCAAATTCTGTTCCGAAAATCAGAGTAACAACTACAAGTTTTATTTCGAAAATTCCTTTTTGAAGCTACTGTAGAATTAAAATCAGTTCCAAAAAGGATTCTAAAAATTGGGGAAAATCAATCATTCGCACAATATTCAGCCTATTCTACAATTTTCATGAAGAAACGAAATCGAAATTCGAAGCCAAAATACCTCAAATCGGATTATGAAATTAACAGTAGGCAATCGTCATCAAATCAAATCAAAGGGGTCGGAATCTCCACCGAACTAAAGCCTGTAAAACCCCGCTCGATGAAACTTCACCGGGAAGGTCGTCAAGTCACCATCTTTTCTTCGATGATTGAATATGAGTTTCTTCTTACTTCTTGATTTCTTTCTCGATTTGGTAGGTGATATTTTGTTTGTGATTTATCGGTAGGAACTTGATGGGAGATGATGTATAAAATTAGGCAGAAGGGGGTTTTTAAAGAATGGTTAGGTCGGATGAAGATGAAGGGGGAAGATGACTCTGTCGAGTCTAATACGTGTCTTCTCCTTAAAATTTACTTAACTATGCCTTAACTATGCCTTAATACCATATCAACTCTTGTAAATTACCTTATTTATTCTTAGTCCCCAACTTTATATATCAACAACATCTAAGCCACATAATAAAAATTAAGGGGTGTTACACTTTCATAAAACTGAATTTTCTTAAAATTTTCCAAAACTATAAAAAAGATTTGAAAAATTCCCGCTAGGTTTTTAAATATTAAAATTTATGTGATTTCTGAAACTTTTTGAAATTCCGCAATTTCCAAAAGTACTGGGGTTGGAATTGGAATTTAAAAAAAATATGAAAATTTTTCGATGAGACTAGTTCCGATTCATTACATCCGACTTTCAGCACTACGTTGCGCATAGTAGAGGTCGGCCTAAGGCAAACCATGCGATGCAATGGGTTGCATGAAATCAAATACATCACATAACGTATGTGAAATGAAAGTAAATAATAATAGAAAAAGAGGAGAGAATACACAAAAAACAACATGAGAGATAATTGTACATATATAATTGTGGGTATTTAGGTGAGAGGAGATTTTCATTTATATCGGTGCAATCCACCGAAAGTTACAAATGAATTATATAGGAACTATAACCACTACAAAGTTTGGGGATAATGGGGTAGTGAGAAGTTGAGAATCTATAGTCTCATCTGTTAGCATAGAAAGACCCACTTTTCCATATTATTTACAACAATATATATGTTTTTATTTATATATACATATATTTCGGTATTCAAAATAAATATTATTATCAATTATCAATCTGCGATTGATAATTAAGAAAACAATTTAGAATTGACCAATAAATCGTGTAAATAATCATGGAATTGGAAACTACAAAAATATTTAGAAATCTGTTATTTAAACATGTTTTTGACTTTTTCAAAAATTACAAAACGAACCGTAAGGTGTCCTACATGTGTACACTCTCAAGTGTCGGACGCAAAACATGTCCGAAACACGAATACGTTAAGAAGTCGAAGTTTTCGTGCTACGTAGCTTTCAAATCATTCTCTAGAATGCTTTCAAATTCAACTTAAATGTAATTATATTAGAGGTTAGCTGAACTTTTTTTTTTTTTATATACTTAAATCAAATAACAAAGACAGCTTATAAATTTCACAGTATAGTAATGCAACAGTGAAATGCTATTTATCAAAAAAAAAAAAAAAAAAAGAAAAGAAAAGAAAATGCTTATCGTACAAATCCAATTCAGATGGTATCAAAGCCATAGCATTTGACAAGCCAAGAAATGTCACATTGTCTTAAACAATTCACACACTCAATTCAACCGAACCGTTTGATAACATCAGTATACATAAGAAGATACAATGAATACATATTTAAACTTAACACGAATTTGCTATAAAAGAGGTTCTCATCAGAACTTGCATAAATATTTGATGGTTAAGAGAGAGAGATTAGATTGCATGGATTACGAGTCTGCAATCGGAAAAGCAGATCCAATTTTGTTCCCAAGGCGATAGCACTTGATATTGACCGGGTACGGACCGAGTTCGACATAGTTATCTTCTCCCCCCAAATAGAAGCACAGTGTATATATTGCTATCTCAAACTCCGGGCTCACTCCAACCAACGTGCTCGACACCGACTTTAGAACCCCATTCCATTCAAATTGTATGGTTAGCAACTGTGTTTCTGCATCAGGCTGCATTAATAATACCATACACGTACACAAATTAATTCATACATTACATTTATATATATTCGATAAACAAACTATTGTACTGTACAGTTAAACCTCTATAAATTAATACAGTTGGCACTAGTAAAATTATATTAATTTAGTGAAATATTAAAGTTAATAATTTAATACATTTTTACCAACTCGGGACCGGAAGAAATTATTATTTAAACGAGGTTATTAATTTATCGAGGTTCTACTGTATGCTATATGGAAATGAAAAATGACTTTACCACTTGGCCACGCCTTCGAGGAAAAATATAGCCTTGATAGTCCACCCTCTCCTTCGATTCTTCCAGATAGAACTGCAAAACAAAAATTCACAAATCACGATTCGAACAACATACGACGTACATTACGAGACCAACGACGGAGGAGGGTAAAATTGTCTTTTTTGGACAGAGCACCTGAATCCAGTTATGGAATCCGGAGACTTGTTGCTCCCCGCGCTGTTTGATTTCTCCGACGAAGACGTGCTCGAAAGCGGAAGAAGAACCGGAAGTGCCACCTCGTCCGTAAAGGTCGAACCAGAGACTCGTCATCATTCTCTTGAAGTCTTGGAAACTATTCGACGCGACGCCCTTTGCGGAGAGATACTTGTAGAGGTACTTAATCGGCGCACTTCTGCTTATCTCTTCGATAAACGCCGCTTGCTCTTGTATCTCTTCATTTGTCACTACTTCTTTAAGACCCTCGTGGTGGGTGTAGTTATCGAGAAGCGAACAGAAACGCGAGTACGTAGGCCTCGTAAACACCTCTTCCGCTCAGCCAAGAGAAAATAAACCCCTTCTTGCCATGTCTTGGCTTTTGTAAACCTTTCTTCCCTTCA